GCGCACGCGGACTCTGAAAGCGGCCAGTGAAATCTAACGTAATGCTATTAAAGAAGAGCTCATCCGTCGAAAGATGGAAGAGTGGTTCTATGACGTAATGACCTCCCTTGAAGTGGCCTAGGCCTAGAAGAGGGTTTGTTAGAATCAAAATCCGTTAGCAGCGCTCATGACCAAGATTCCGCTTCTATTTGAATTTGTGAGATTGCTTTGGAAAACACAATTGTTTTTGAGTCTTTTATGGTACTAGAAGGTTATTGCCCTTTTTCCAAAGATCAGCTCCTTAGACTGTATGTTCAAACGATACAATAAAATAGGTGTTATGGTTATGTAGTGAAGGTTTCTGGGTTTCTGACAGAAGTTTCTGAAGGTAAATGAACAGGTTTTATTATAATTGGAATAAAGCACCGTCTCCCAAATCGTTTTGCTTAAAGTTTCCTTCTATACATGCCAGGTTTAATGGAGATTACGCAGTTACTTCCGATGTCTCTTCGTTTTGCTGTTATTGGAGTCGTTTTCAGGTCATAAAGGGTCTTCTTACTCATGGTGTGAACTGTATACTCTTGAGTACGTTAAGCGAATGAAAAAATTGCTTGTGGAATTTGATTAATTTATAATTATATTTTTATCAGATTATTTTTGGATTAATTATTCTTGTATCTTTACGTTTTCATACGAAAATCATGAGCATGGCCTATTTTGTGACAGTATTTCCTTGTCCCACCATAATTTGTGTAACACTTTCAGTCATTAACTGGAGCTCGTTCGGTGCCCCGTGTATTCATCAACCAGAAGTTCTTTGGCGGTGGCGATGATACGGCAGCTGCAGCGAAAAACGGAAAACTTGCACAAGTCCTCAAGGATGCCCAAGCAATCTGAAGTGTGAAGGATCTCATCGAATTAGCGATTGTGAAGCTTTCGTTGTTTCTGTGATTTGCCCAAGTGTGTTAACTCCATTAATATTACTGTCCATCTAAATATTAAGCTAATAAACATAGGTTCATTTGTTAGGTTGTGCAAACACAAAAAAACAAGAAGGTATGTTTGTTCAGCACATATTACTTACCCGAGGTCGCGAACATTCACCGCTCGTTGATCTTGACCGTTGATTGCATTATGTAATTTTTTAAAAGAACAATTAGAGGCGCGTTTTTGTGATGGTCAACCTTCAGTGGCCAGAACGGTGTCACTTTTGTTTTCGAGAGTTCCACCTCCCTACATGCTCTTGTGTTCAGGGCCTCAAGGATGCCCAAGGAAACTGAACTGTGAAGGCCATATAATAGGCTCCAAGTTCCGAATTTGAGAAGTTTGATGGGGGAAAATACCTGGTAGATGTAATTTGCCCAAATTATGCTCAAATATGCATCAGTTGATGTCCGAACGTCGTTTATCACCAGGGGTAGTATTTATCGTATCACATAAGTAGCGAAAGTTAGCTTGTCACCGAAAAGAAACAAGGATAGAAATAAGTTAGTTGTAAGTGGAGACGATGGTTTGAAGAAGGTGGAAATGACCGGTAATGACCTCGCTTTTCTTGAAGGCACAGTTCACGACGAAAATCTCTCACAGGATGGATTAGAGGTCCCCGCGTATACCATATCTGGCACTATTTGGTCGGAAAACGGCCCACTTAGGGGGTATAAAGGGTCAAAGATTGGCCTGTGTGTATCCTCGGACGAGTTTCACCGGCATTATAGAGGCTGCACCGATCAGAAGGGAACCCATGTAGGAAGTTCAAACAATTTGTCATTACCCATAGTGACAGTGAAAGACAGTTCTGTACAGTTCTGGCTTGATGTAGTCAGTTCTCTGCGCAATTGCAACAACTGAAATCTCGTTCAAATACCCCTTCAATGCTTCAATGCTTTCCATCATAGCAGTCTCGTCCAACCTCTATTTTCCCCACTTTTAAGGTGGCATATTTTTCTCGAAATGGGCGAATTCTTTCGCATTCTTCCCTACCGATGAACTATTCCCAATCTATACTTCCGCTTTTCGAATAAAAATGGGTACCTCAAAATCATCGTGAACTGTGCGTTTGAATGCGAAACCCTTCAGCTACGAAATGAGAGAGCAATGAATAAATTCAAGTAAGCAGAATTTGAATAGAGGACGGCTGCATGGCGTAATCCAAAGAGCCACTGCAGAGATGTCCACTAGAGGGGCCCGGGCCGGATGCCTCCTCTTTACTGCCCTACTGTCGAAGTAACTCATTGTTGAAATACACTTCTCTGATGTTCAGCCTGACAAGCTTACCATTAAACTGTGCCATTCAATTACTCTACCACTAAATAAGCTCAGAAGTTCAGAAAAGGTTCGAAAGCATGGCAGTCTGCTGTGTGATCATTGTTGTTGTTCAAAAATCTTGGTGATCGTTGATATTTTCGGCGCACGGGACGTTGTTTATGTTTTTGCCATCGCTGCATGGCGAGCAAATTGTCAACAACCCTGCCGATTTCCGTTGCTATGTTGCGCCACTTTTTTAGCAGACCATTGTGTGCAATAACTACCACGCAGTGCAGGAATCTGTAAGTTCTATCGCTGATGACTTACTTTGACTACTTTTTTTGTTTTAGAAGGTCCCATCCTTCTTCTCTTCCTTATTATATATGCCCGGATATTTTTGGCTTTTTGTTTATGCATTGGTTCTAGGGAATATTTCCTTTCTACTGCAACAGCCCTATCTAAAGCCTCTGTCTTACTTCATTACTTCTATCTTACTTGATATACTCGAACTACCAGTAAATGTAATCTTACCATAATCTCTTCAGTTCTTCGCCTACGACCATGATTACCAAAGATTTTGTCGATGAACATATTAAAAATCACAAAGTCGTCGTATTTGCCAAATCTGATTGTCCGTTTTCTAAGAAGGTAAGGTGCTATTCCAATTTGTTTCATTTTTTTTCTTTGAAATTTTTTTCGAGATATTGCTGCTTTAAATTGATGATGTCTCTTGTGAGATCATTTTTATTCTATTTACATTATTACCCTTACTTTGGCGAATTCTGTGT